AAATATCTCTAAGTTACAAGGATGACCTTATTTTATAACTTCAAACAGAAGCCGTGTGTTCTACAGTATTATCCCACTTAACACCTTTATATATACAGTCTATGGTTTTAACTTGGAGACTACGATTAGCATCGTTAGCACCGATGTAGCTACCACTCACTTACACGCTAACCAGTGGCGGCCGGCCCATAGGGGCGCTAGGGACGCCGCCCCACCTCTTCCCACATACAAAAAAATATATGTTTTATTTTATTTTTAATGAACAAGGTAAATATCATACAATTGGTATCAGTAAAATGTATAATCGACAATAAAATCTCATTTAAAATTGTGTTACGATGTCTAAAGTTACTGATAAGTCACATGTTTCCTGCCTGGCCTTGTCCGTGGCATTAGTTTATCATTACCAGGCGCCGTGCAAGGAGCCCCCGAGCCAAACAGCAGCAACCAGCACATTGCAAAAGTCTCAATAGTAAACTGTGCCGCCGAAACATAATTTCAGCCAATCAGCGCCGTCAAATATTTTGGTCACGAGGGCGCTCACGTTGGCGCCCACGTTGCTTGTGCGTTGACGTGAGTTGTTTTTTAGACTCGTGAGTGACCAAGGTGTTGGATGAGTTGGATGAGAATGGCTTCGTGTGCAGGTGGAGTCGCCGGACCTCGGTCCCCGCCCAATTCCGTTCAAGAGCTAATCTCCAATCCTTTCGAAAGGAGAAGTTTGGGAGATAAATTGTTGCTTAAAGACCTTGGACCGGACCAACCCGATTTGTATATATTGCAGCAAGCTCGTGAAAAAGACAAAACGTATCAACGAGGCTTCTCACGTAGCTGGTACACCAGAAAGGCATGGCTAGCTGGATGCAAACAGGTAAATGCTGTCTTTTGTTTCCCATGCTTGCTCTTCAAACAGCCGGGGACAGATACGATCTGTTCAGAAACTAGACAAAAGTTAAACAAGTACAAACCACAGACTGTCTGTGTCATGGAGAATACAGTCGCTGGTTTATTTATGTCTGTATAGGCCGTTGTTGTGAGTGTGGACGGTCGGAGCATATATAACAAGCTCCATTCAGAAAACAAGTCTTCAGACTTGTCAAAGCATTAATTCATGGTTTTTACTAACCGGTATCAGTATGTTGTTACGTCGGCATCATTTAGAAACGTGTACAATTTAATCACGGTAAAATATGTTCATTTTGTTGTAGTTGTAGCTCCCGAGCGCGTCTTGTTTGAATGATGCGAGTAAACACAGCTGGCAGCCGCGGTGAAACTCGAGCGACTAGAGCGATGCGATAGGAACGTTTAGAGCGAAGCGAATATTCGCATCGCGTCCGGTCTGAACGCAGCATTAAAGCGAGCTCCGCGCTGCACTGGAAACGCACCATTACATCACCAGAAGTCCTAATTTAAGGGGCCATTTCTCCCCAAACTTTTTTTTTACTCACTATATCAACAGCCCCACCAAAAATATTTTCCACCAGCCGCCACTGACGCTAACCCAAGCCTTAACATTCATTACGTAGCTGATTCAAATCATAAACACATCAATAAGTACTCGAATTTCACTTACCGCAAAAACCGCATTCATGCACCGTCTGTTTCAACCGCAGAGCGAGTCACAATAGTCCGATATATAAGCATGAAGAACAAACAACCACGGCCGGCTTCAAGTTGTGTTCCCTGGATGAACTGAGCAGGCAGAGTCCCAGTAGCTTCACGGAGCAAGTAGCAGAGAGACAAGAAGCTAGCAGCAGCAGTCACTTGACAGAGCTGTCACTCAATGTGACCACGCCCTAATATATGCATAACTTTAAGGCTTAATATTAATTAAACAGATGAGTTTAGAAAAAATGCATCCCCCACACAGTAGTCATGAAGGGGGAATCTAACTATACAGAGAATATGGTTTTTTGAACCACGATGTAAACATGTTTATTTCTGCTGTAAAATTGGGCATTTTAACATGGGGGTCTATGGAAATTGCTCCCTTCTGCAGACTGCTCCTACTGGCCACTAGATGAACTGCAGTGTGTGGCACTTCCGTATTGGCGTCCCGGCTCTTCCCCAGAGTTTGCCGCTTGGTCTTAACACATTTGTTTGTGTGAAACGCTCAATGAACTACATCTCTGGTCTCGCAGAACAACACACGTCACCAAGATGGCCGTCACTACTGTCTTGTCAACAAAACGATTGACTACCCTCACTATCACCACAATGAAACACGTCCAGAAGAATGTCATGCAAAGCTGCCTGCCTGCCTTCCTTTGATTCTCTCTGAACTGCCTGGTCTTTTTAATGTTTAATGTCAACCATTTGTGCAGATAGCATGAAGTAGAAAAGATCGGCGATCGCCGATGCTAGCGTTAGCATTTCTCCCCCAGGCTTAAATGGTGTATTATAGAATGATCACACCGGTGACAGTACTCTTCAAAGGGTTCACGAAATATGACTACTACTCTTACTGTTTAACATTTTGGGTTACTTCATATTAAGGCTAATACAAATGACAAGGCTGTAATGCTAACTAACGTGCTAGCTACTAGCTAGGTAGCAAACTTGATCCAGCCACTCCTGGTCCTTTCATCAGACGGGAAGCGAAAGAACGAGCAAGACCCATTGCTGGTATGATAACAACCTGGTACTAAGCACACAGGCATCTTGTTAAAGTTATCTTATCTAACCAGCACCATATAGATAGATTATATCTATATGGCGCTGATCTTAGCCATCTCTTAGTGGAGGAAAACAATTGGGATTTGTAGTCTTTCTAGTTGCGTATTTGTCATAGTCTTGTATTTCAACAGTTTTACGACAAACTGTGACTTTTTTGACTTGCAAAATTATCTTTTAAATTGACAAACATCATATGTGTAATTCGTGGCACAATTCAAACGGGATCGAAAGATAATCTTTCTCTCTCCATTGACTTCAATACATAATTTTTTCGAAATAAGGTCCCATGGAGGTCCCCCGGAAGAGGAGGGACTTCACCACTCTATAAGGTCCCATGGACCGGAAGTAGATGGGCGTGACTTCGCCACTTTATAGCTTTAATAACTCCCTCTCTCTTTCTGCAGGCACCCCCTGGTTATTTGGCAACATTAGTTCCCCTCCTGTTTCCTTTTATTTATTGTCTGCACTTTACAAAAGTCACACACCATTCTGACCCCCTACTGACTTCACGTCTTAAACCTTTTGATGTTTTGTTATGTACAGCGTTTTCTGCCATTTTGTCATGGTCTCAAAAGGCAGGTTTCAACCATACAGTCTATGGTTTCAACAAAAAACAATTTTTTGTCAAAAATGTATTTATTTCAGCAATTGTTGCCTCATGTTTCTATAAGTTGTTTTATTCATTCATTATCAAACACATGGCGGTTCCATATGAGATGAGGTGTGTAAGACAATAGTGGCTTACTTTAATAATACTTCACAGGGATTTGCAAGGCCTCAGAATGCACACATGTATTCTTCATCAAACAATTGTATTAATAAATAAAGAAGCAATTTACATGCATTGTTTTATTCCCCTAGAAAAAATATATTCATCTGAATTTACATTTGTACAAGAAAGAGATATTCACAGGAACTGTTTGTTTTTTTGTTCCCATCCTGCACTAAAAAGCTTTTGTTTGTTCCGATGGTGTCTGCAGAACAAACTTCCCGCTGTTCACTGTGCAGGTTAATAAGACTTGATGGGTGTGCTGCAGATCCATCACTAAGACATATCCCCTGGCCAGTGAAGACTTGTACAGAAGTAAATTGCTTTCTTGTAATTCTGTTTGCAGAATCCTCCCAGCAAACCAACCCTTTCTTGTGTCAGATGGTGTTTTGAACCAATCCATGTTTGCACTATCCTTAAACAGAACAGTCGCTGAGCATCGATGCAGAACTGGGATGATAAATTATAAAGTATCATATAATGTCATTCAATTAGAAAGCCAACATGTGCAGTTGTATTTGAAAGGAATTATTTAGAAACCATTTATAAACTGGCTTTCCCTTTAGTTCTCATTGAATATTAAAGGGGCCCTATTGTGCTTATTTTCAGGTTCCTTTTTGTATTTTGTGCCTTTACTGTGATGTCACCATGCTTTAATGTTAAAAAATGTCTTTATTTTTTCTCATACTGCCTGTGCTGCAGCACCTCTTTTCACCCTCTGTCTGAAACCAGAACCCAGTCTGCTCTGATCTCTGATTGGTTAACAGGCTGGCTCTGTTGTGATTGGTCAATCACTTAGAGATGTCCCGCCCCTTAGCCTGTCACGTAGAATTTGTAAGAGCGCTCGCCAATAGAAGTGCAAGTGTTGCATGATGATGTCATTATAATACAGAAGTCAACATAGTCCAATGGAGGCGTTTCAGGCAGGTGGGGGGGGGGGACTTTGGTTTTTTTTGGCTTTGCAAACCATTTACATGCACACAATTCTTAAAAACGCAACAGGAAAGGGAAAAACCTCTTTAAATCAAATATCTGGAGCTTTTGTTAGTGTTTTTGGTAGGTCACTTGATTCTGCTATAAACTTAACCTGGACTCATACGTTCAAGGTTTTAATTTATAACAGTCATTATCATAAACTTAAGAAAGCCTGACCAAAGCACGTCGGTCAATGAAAAAGTCCAGGATTTATTCCCGCTCATGGCCTTCCTGCAACAGAAATTGATTATTCTCCTTCTCCCAGTTCCATGTGCAATGAGTTGTGGATTGTTTCTATCGACAGGCCTGTTTGAAATCAGGCACTAAAATACATTTATGCCAGCACTTGTCAGCCATTCTAATGCTTTTAAATCTACAGTAATTGTTAGACCAATCTCCTGGGTCCCATCTGAACTCGGCATTTTGTTTTCTCATTTGAAGCGAGAAGCATTTAACAGTGGCCCCCGCTCTTATTATAATAAAAATGTGTTAAAGCAATTTGTTTATTTTCTTCATATTGCTTTAGAGGCACTAAAGATGTGTGATAATGCACTTTGTCATCTCTCTGTTCTTTCTTCAACAGATCTTCCTGCTGGCCTGCCCGCCATGTAAAACAGCAATGGTTGTATTTAGGTGAGTATTTCCCCCCCTGGCTCCTTTTGGGGTTACATTCAGTCAAATTAAAGAATGTATTGTGTATATATCATTAAAGGGTCACGACTCTGTCAACAAACCGTAAGATGTACCTGCAGAGAATGTAATATAAAATGATTGGGCAGACAGACCCTAATTATTTTTATTGTCATATGAAAAGCAATTGCCACATTGATCGTAATTACTTGTAGAGTTTTATTGTAATAGATTTGTTGGGGTTTAAAGTCGTCATGCCTCACCAACTGCTCCTGTCTGGACAGTTAATTATTCCGGCGAATGATAGTGTTTTTGCCAGTGGGAAGTTGGATTTACTCTGAAATAAATACGAGCAGGGTTACTTTCTGTTTCCTCAGCCCTATGGGAGTCCGATGCAGCTGCAGTGAGAGGTTTCATCAAGGCAACAGAAGCTACCTGAAATGACTATAAAGTAGCTAATTAAATAGTGAGTCTGTGAATCTTCTTTCATATTTGGAAAACGAAATTGTTTAAGTACGTCACTTGAGAAAATGACATTGATCCTTCAGGCCAAGATGTTCTTTCTCATAATAGACTATGTTATATAATACTCAGGATTTTGTCTCAACCGGGTGACAGGGGAGCTGTGTCCTCTTACTTTAGGTGCGCCCTCATACCAAAATGCAGATATTCCTCGTAACATTTTAAAGTGATGAAAGAAAACAATATTTCTGTTCGTCAAAAACTGTAAATCGTGTCAAATAGACTGTCAGACGGCATAAACAGCTTTGTTTTTACGGAGCCATCTTCTATACGGGCACTATGGTCTCGCGAGAATTTATATATCTTGTATACAAGATCAGCGCCACAGTATTGTCATCATACTATATTTTTCTAGAAAAACCCTGATACTGTTTCAGCTTGGCAGATATATTAAGTGTATTTCCCTTGAGAAACAATGTTATGATTTCTTTGACATTTGTGTAAACGTGGCATCTGGAAAAAAATCCCGCAGATGATGACTTTAATAAAAACATAGGAACTTTTTGGAAAAACAAATGCTTTAAATTGTAATCCTGTTGACTCATAAAGATTTCAGCACTGGTTGATTTCGGCGTGGTAACCATAGCAACAGCAAGTGCGGTTTAGAAACTACAGAGAACACTCCTTGAGCAGCTGCTTTGTTAGAAATACAACAGGGAGTGAAAGTAACCGGTGTATCTGTTTTAAAATACAACAACTCAAACTGTCATTTCAATAGAGAAGCGGGTGACTAATCAGCTTTATTCTCTCAGGCCATGAACAAAACAGCAGGGCACAGTGAAAGGAGTCGTTTCATAGCAGCCTTAGTACTAAATCTAACTGCTGCTCTTGTGAATCTCTGCAATATATAAAACTGATCCGCTGTAACTAAAAAAACTCACTATCTGCGCTGACCTGAGGGACAAAACTTTTTTTTTTCTGTGACTTTCAAAAACAAGTCCCCGTTATAAGAGGCCCTATTTAGCTTTTCCCTTTCTTGTGGTGTGCTATAAAGGATTTTGTGCATGTAAAAGGTCTAATCATAGTGTAGTGATTGATATATCAAGGTAAATGCCTAATTCCAAAATCATCAATACACTTGACATAGCCTACACATCCTAAAGCTCCTTTCTATAATCTTAAATAAAAACCACACACTTTAAGGTTTAAGGCTGCAGCCACACGAGGACGATAACGGAAACGCACCGAAATCATTATCAAAAAAGTCTTCCGTTCACACGCAATAGGCACCAGAAACGTGTCCGTTCACACGAGACAGCTCGAACCGCTGGAGACGCTGTAGTACATATACCGGGCCTGTAATGGCGCATTTCCACTGCAGCCCCGTTTAAGCGTCCTCAAGCGGCCAGGCCAGTTTTTGGTGGCCTTTCCATATAGCGTAGCACCGGCTAGCGGGTACTTTTTCCGGCCCCATAAAATCGTGGTTCTATCAGGCCAGGGCCAGGGTTGAACTAGTGACGTCAACACTCTCGACTGCTGATTGGTCAGAGAGAATCGTCACAAGATCGCGCGCGAGATCATCCCTAGCGTCACATATATATCTAGAAGCAAGCTTGCAGAATTTTTATACACAGCATTTTTGTAAACGGAGGAGCTACAAAAATGGCAACGTCAAAGAAAAGCACACCGTGGTCGACCGAGGAGGTGACGACGTTCTTACATCTCATTGGGGATGATAAAATCCAGCGGGAGCTCGATGGGAGCCCCGCCTACACTGCGTTGCTACCCCAGGTCCTAAACTGTAATGGCAATGCGCCACGGCCTCGGACGGCCAGCGAGGCAGCCCGAGGCCAGAGCGAGGACGCTTAGGGACACTTAAACGGGGCTACCCCGCTGCAGTGGAAATGTGCCATAAGTGGCGCTGTACTTCTGCCACAAAATACACCAAAAGCAGCAAAGAAGACTTCTCGCGCGCATGCATGGTTGCCATGGTTGCCCTTCTGTTTATTCTCTGCGCTGGATTTAGCAGCAGGTGGGGTTTCGCCGGTCAACTAAAGTTTAAATCTTCCGGACAAAATTAGAAAAGTGCCGGTCAAAGGTCTTCTTTGTTATTTATTGAGCTTTAAAACAAATGAATAACGACTCTATATAATAATATAAGAATAATACACGGAGGACGGAGCCTCTCTGTATCCGTGGTCTCATGCAGCTGGCTGATCCAGTAATGAGTGACCGACAGTAAAAACAAACATATTTATAACTAGTTTAGGTAGTTTGAGAGGTAATTAAAATAGCTAAGGGTGATGATCTAACTTGAAGTGTGTGTTTTGTTCCGCTCATCGCTCCATCACAGCGGGCGGAGCTGCAGGTGATCATGCAGAGCTGCGTGTCTCCTCTCCTGTCCGATTAGACTTCACTCGCGTTTATGTCCATATGTCCATATCGATCAAATCTAGCTGGAAGCTCCTGCTGGGTGCACTGTCCTGCGAGATACCGGGACCTGGCTCGAAACACTGGGGCTATTGCGTCATCGTTAGCAGGAAATGATCGTTATTGGGCGTAATCACGGAGCCGTTTGGCCCCCCAGAGCGCTTCGTTCGCCTTGGGACTCGTTATCGTTTTCTGCGTTTCCATGTCGGCCTCGTGTGGCCGAACCGTCTATCTCAGTGGTTCTCAAACTTTTTTCAATAATGTACCCCCTTTGAAAAACAAAATTCAGCTAAGTACCCCCCGATCAGCGCAAAAACAATTTGTTAAGAAAAAAATGCCTATATAAAGAGGTACAGTACAGTGCTGCACCATCGGGGTCTGATTTGTTAAAACAACAATATTGTAACTGAGAAAAACTTATGCTACATTTCAAATGTTTACAATCCATCACTAAATTCATGGCAAACCAATTTCAACATCATGAAATAACATTAAGGCAACATTAGTTGCATTGAACTGATCTTTTTAATAAGTTGTACTTACAATATAGTGAGAAACATGGGCTTGTGCTTCACTGAGGAACTTTGTTATTCTCAGTGACAGGAATGCCACTGCAGTTATTACACTTCGCGTTTTGAAATATGTTTAACTCTGTTAATATAAAACCCACACTGCTCAAACTTTGTTACTTTTTGCTAAAATTGGTATATTTATTTATTTTGGGGTGTGGGGAATGAAGAGAAACAAATATATGAGCATGGGATTTTGACCCCTCATATAAACAAATGCATAATGCTGCACTATACTTTGCGGCCACACGCCGTTGCCAAGCAACGCTTATTGTTTAGGTGTCCTTTGATAAGCAGGCAGTCAATTAACTAGAACTAGCTAAATCTGATAGATTTGGACATAAACGTGCGAGAGAGAGAGAGATCAGATCAGCTGCTGCTGATGGAGAACACGCAGCTCTGCATGATCACAGCTCCGCCGCTGTGACGGACCGTTGAGTGGAGCAAAATTAAATAGACTAAGAGTTAGACCTAACACACTTAGCTACTCTGGAACTAGCTAAACTAGTTATAAATATATGTATTATTTACTGTCGAGTCACTTAGGCCGGTTAGACAGGTTCAGCGAGCTGCACGAGACTGACGGACTGTCAGGAGAGGGAGAGGAAAAGAGAGCACCCCGTTTATTTTTCCCATGTTATTATCCAGAATTACTGTATACCTTTGAAGAAAGTAGTTCATCTACTATTAGTAGTTTGTTTAAATGCATTAATTTAGTTGTTTTTTTCATTAACATAAAATAAATCTCACGTACCCCCTGCAGTACTCCAATGTACCCCTAGGGGTCCGCGTACCCCCATTTGAGAACCACTGGTCTATCTGATAGAGAACTGTAGCAGATACGACCGTTATCTTCCTCGTGTGGCTGCAGCCTCAGTGGTGGTGTATTTGAATAAGGTAGACCGTTTTTACCTCTAAGGTCCGGAGTGACAGCTGGACTCAGTCTAACTGACACTCCCACAGTTCCACAGTTCTCACTCTGACCTTGGCTGTCACAACAGTCATTTCGGCTCATTTGACAAAAGAGCAAACACATGACAAGCACTTTGACACATAAGCTCCTGGGCTTTTGGACACGGCAGCTCTAACAATAACTTTTGGTGAAAAATAAATGTGTAGAAGTTAACTGAACAAGCATCACACACAACCCCCACACCAAAACCACCAACACTCTGTCTGCAGGATCAGACAGGCTGTGTGTGTGGTGAATAGAGAGTGAGATGGAAGCAACTGAAGAATGTGCCCCAACTAAAGACTTGGGGCACAAGGCTATATCTACATTTATGCTGGAGCTGTACTCAACTCAATGATCTGGCCTTCAATAGAGACATAACCAGCAACTACATTGAAAGGCCTGATCATTAATGAGTACTTTTTCATGCAGAAATGCTGATTTCAGCCTCTCAAGTAAAGTATATTCAGATTTTCTTGGTTTTGAAGCATTTGAAAGTGAATATTTTGGAATAACATAACACATTTAAAGACATCTCCTTGGACTTAATAACTTTCATGGACATTTTGTCACTTTATTCTGACATTTTCTAGACAAAACTTATGAATATAATCCTCTGTTTCAGGCAAATAATGAATGAATAGCCAGAGTAACCAGATAAATGACAGAAACGTACTCTATGGTTTTTAAAAACGTCAAGAATCTTAAACGTACGCTTGGAGAAAAAGCTTCTAATTGCCTGTGCCTTCTGTGACCTGACTTGTCACATTCAACGCTTCCACTAGGAACGCACCCCGCCAAAGGAGGAGAGACAGCTGCTGCTAACAGCATCAGGGAGCGCTCTGATTGGCTTACAGCAGCTCTGAACATAATCACACCGTCCTCCACCTGGCCCTCTGTGCTTATATCAGCACTAACTCAAACTCATATGTCGATAATGTAATGGTGCGTGCAATGTGGAAATTTGGTGTTAAGATGTTCCTGGCAGGTGTGATGGAGGATGTGAGATGTTTGTGAATTTTAATATTATTATTATTATTAGCTTACTCATTTTTTCCTTGTGTGTTTACAGGCTGCATGTCCACATGCTGAATGGTGCACTACTGGCATTAATATTCCCTGTAGTCAACACTAGACTGGTAAGCAACTAGGACTGGAAAATCTCCGTTAAAAACTCTTTGATGCTCCATTTTTCTGTCTCTGAAGTGGAGGTGTCTTCATAATCCAGATACTTATTTTTTGATGACAGCTCAGCAGGGGAACAAGTTAAATCCCTTAGCTTTGACATGTTTAAGATGACTACTTATCTTCTCTTTCTCAAACATTTGACAGTTTTATGATTGTTACAGTACATTTAGCATCTCCAAAGAAAATAATCTAAAGAACTAAATTCAAACATTTGGAAAAGAAAATATGGTCTCAAGGGCAAAGCTTAATTGATGATGGGAATCTATTTTTACTAAAGGAAATCGCTGGCTGCTTGAAAGGCTCTCACTGACAGCTGCAGACGAGCCCCAGATGCAGAAGATAATGCACTCTAAAGTATATTTGCTTACATTTAATCAAGTTTGGCCAGTTTGAGCTTTGTCCAACATGATCCCTGTGAAGATCAAATGTTCATACTACAGAACAGCTCGTACCAAAGAAAAGCAAAGGCTTCCTGTCATAACTCTATTTCCCTGTTTGATAAAGAACCTATTTTGAACAAAGAAGTATGTCTGCACAGAACTAGTGATGTGCCCTATAGCGTCAATAGAACATAATGTAATAGGTCATCTTGCTCTTTTCAAATAGTCTTCACCACAGATCTAAAAAGGAATGTGAGGAATGAACATGATTTTTACAGTTTCAACAGAATTGACTAAAGAGACAGCATACATCTACTTGAGTTATACATTTGTATTAAAAATGTAAAAAGTAGCAGTATCATTTTATAGATTATACCATTGATAATAAGTATCCCTAGTCGTGCAGATGGTTTCTTCTAAACCAAAAAGGTATATTTATTGCTAAAGTGGTTTTCATTTTCATTCTCCCCTGAGTCTGAGGCCCTGATCTTAGGTTAGCTTTAGCTCTCTGATGCCACGCTCCCTAATAACTCTACTCGCTAGCTGTAGAATAATGGATAGAAATGACTCAACAGACTCCGACTGAAGCGCTGCTCTCATGCAGAGCCAGCAGAGCACAGTTCAAACTGCAGCCAGCGCCGGTTATTAATGCTGCTCTGAGGTCAGTGCATTAGAGCGCGGCGCAGACAGAGTGCAGGAAGTCCCACACTGATTTAATGTCCGTCCACACCAAGAATGATAACTATAATGATAACTTTAAATACACTCTGCACTCTCTAGCTGTGTCTGAGCCGTACAGTGGATGGTTATGAGCGGTTACTGCCGCATGTTGTGCAGGGAATATGCATAAGGTGTGAAAAATAAATAAAATACACTTTATTGCTAATAGAAAATAAATGTTAAAAGACAATTGTATTAATCCACCCTCCTGTGTGGCTGACAGTGTTTCTATCATACATCAAATCACTCTTAATGAGTTGATTGACGGTTACATCTCTAAACATAAAAAAATATATATTTTAAGTTTGGTGTTTACCAAAGACGTGATCCTAGGTTTCATGGAATAGAATAAAAAAAACAATCTAAAAAGATGAATCAACTACACCACAATGGCCACAAAGTTGTGATGTGGACCCTTGTGTTTTTAAAACAATATATTTATAGTTATTTAAAGGTCCCCTATTATACTCTTTCAACAATATAATTTAGGTCTCAGATGTTTAAAAAACATGTCTCTGCAGTGTTTGGCTCAAAATACCCAGCTGATCGAGCATTGTAGCATCCCATAAAGCCCTCTGTTTTCAAAAGAGCTGATTACGTGTCTGTTGCTTTCAATACAAATGAACTGGCACTTTTCCTGAAACTTTCCGGATCTATTAACACAGAGGGGACACATATTTATGTATAAAACACTTATAATAATAGGTGACCTTTAAAACTAGATGCGATGATACAATTCTTAGAAATATGTCATTCAGCATGCAAAGGAAAACAACTCCTTTCTTTGGGATTTGAGACTTTGCACACTATTTACAGTACATGCACACAAACCTATATAACACTAAAGGATAGGGGGGGAAATCAAAAAAAAAGGGCCTCTTTAAAACGATATACATTATAAGCAAATTGGATAAGCAAATGTTCTGCTTAATGTGGGTCGTTTAGAAGTGTAATGGTGTATTCTCTTCTCAGCTGCCGTTTGAGAAGGAGATCTACTACATCCAGCACTCCATGCTGTACCTGGTGCCTCTATACCTGTTCAGGAAAGGAGGTTAGTGTTGACCTCTCCACTCACATTGACACTTTAGTTTTTAGTTTTTTTTAGTTTAGTCAGTTTATTGAACATGTCAGAAACAAAAACATACAACAATAATATATATATTCTCTTTTTTTCTTGTCACTCAAATTAATAATTATAACAAAGTACAAAAAACAAATAATAACAAACAAACAAAAAACAACAATAATTCTCAGATAGTCTGTCATGTTCAACAGGGGCAAGAAGAAGCTTAAAAAAACGTTTCTGGTCCTACCCCCCTAGCATATATTTTTCTTATAAATAAAACATTCGGTCATCGTCATCAGCGACATGTTTGTCTTAAACTCAAGGTGAAATACCTCTCATGTACCAACCACACAAGGCTACCATGACCTTTTTTATCTTTGGATGAATTCCATTTAGTTGAAGGTGTTTGAGTCAGTGCACCTGCTGTGTCTTTTACGGCTCTCCTAAATCACGTAATTATCTGTTTACTCCAAACCAACACCTTTTGCTCTCGTTACAACATGAAGGCGTCTGTGCATAAACTGGAAAGCTCATTTTGCACATCTAGATGCATTTACAGTAACCTCACCTGTAGGCAAGACATGCTACAAACATGTAGGTACAGGGGGACATTCCTGTGAGTGCTTAACTATGGTTTGGTTGAGAGCTTTAAAAAAAAGATTTCATGTCTAAATGTAACTAGGGCGCATCACAGTAATCCAACCTCTGCATGAAGCGCCTCATTGTTCATTAGCAACGTAACACTGGAGCCTCGCAAAAGGAAGCGTTCTTTGTTCTTGTTCAAACTGACATAATCGGTGCACATTTAATGTCTTCCCCTGGTAGTTCTCTAGCAGCAGTGAGGAAACAGGAAAAGACAGTTTGACACCGCATCCTGTTACCGTGGTTGCAGGGTGTTCCATCTGTTGACATGACTGACGTGTTGCAAATGCACAAACACAGGGGAGGTCAGCTGGGCCAGAGCTGCCACATTCCGTGCGCTAGCTCGCTCTCTCTTTAACCTACATAACTGAGGTTGTTTTTTCTGCAGGTGTGTACAAGCCGGAGCCTCTGGGGGACATGTGGTGGGCTCTGCTCTCCACCGGCCTCCTCTTCCTCTACCACTTCCTCTTCCTGCAGCTCCTCGGCCTGGTAAGATGGAGCCCTCTGCTGGCTACAGCACTATACGTCCCTATGCAGAGAACATGAGTGAATGGTACGATCCCAATGCCTCGCCCTTATGACCTGGACCCTCGGAGACATAACTGACCCTACCTGGCCGAATGATAGGCTGCAAGAGCTCGACAGCGCATATAAAGCACAGTTGTTCCAGCAGCTCATGAGTCAAACAAGCAAAGGAAAACTGTGATTGAATGATAAATAAAACTGAAACGGTATAAAGAACAAGACACATAACATCTGAATACATATACACCTCTCCTGTTACGCATTGGATGATTGCACCTCCTTAAATGATGTATAAATGTGCAGATTCAAAACACGTTAAATGCTAGTGTGGGATTTGGGTGTTTTTTTCACTGCCTAATTTGAACGTCCTCCAGGCTCTTGCTTTTGATTCAGGGCTGATACTGACTCATTCAATGTCATGTTTATCTACCTGTTTTAGCTCGTGCCTGTTTGATGCCGATTTAAAAAAATACACTTGAATTGCAATTCCTTTTTTAATTTGAAGATTGAATATTTATATAGTAAACTAGTACAAACAAGCTTCATTAAGTCGTCTGTATTAGAATAAGCATATTTAATTCTACATTACAATTCACTTATCACAGTAAGAAAAGCAATTACACAACTATTACAAAAACTTCAGACTTTAAAAGTAAAATGTTACACAATATGCTTCACACAATACAACAAACCCTTCCTGCATCTGCACACAAAGCACTACATGACCCTAAATGACTCAATAATAACAACAACGATCAATACATAAAAAAAACAGGAACTAAAGAAACATCACATCTCCTCACAGTACAGTGAGGAAACACCAGAGGCAGGATTAGACATACAGCATTTAAAAAAAGAAAGGACTTAGTATACCAAAATGAAGTAAGGAGAATTGAATGGATGGAAGGATAAATACAGATGAATTAAAAGCTAGACTAAAAAGGTCTTGAGTTTTCTTGTATGCTTCACCTTGTTTGTTTTTTTCTGAATTAATGGATAATTCATTCATTTTGTTGTATTCCATGTTGATTTCTGTTCCGGCTATACAATGCCAGAGTGCTGTAAGTGCTTCACCAGTGGCTGTTTAAGGGCCTGTCAGCTCTGTTCCTGCATTCTCATGATTTTCTTTAGAACTCAGTCTCTATTTCGCAGCTGGTTACATATCCTATTCTTTGACACTTGCAATTATTTTGTCCACCCCGCTGTACATAGAAATTAGAGGCAGCAGCATGAGTGAGTCACGTTGAGTTGAACAGCAATTAGAAGTGTAAATCCACTTGAGTTAGAAACCAAGGTTAATAGAGGGGATGAAAAAGGGTCAAATGGTGTCTGCCTGGCTGCAACATTGTGTGCAAAAGTACACGGAAGTATCATGAGTATCAAACTCTCACATAAAGTCACTTTTACCAACCTTTATTTTTCCAATTCCTTCAAACGAAAGGTCTCGCTCTCTGAAATGATTGCAGGTTATTCACATCACCCTTTGGTTCCTAATGAAGCATTGAGAGCAGCTTGGTGCATTTCCCCTTTCAGCCAATCAGATTGTAGGACCTGTTTTTTAGGTCTTTTGATCCTTCATTTCACTTAATGCACACCTCATATCGGCATTTATTCTGAAACTCTGGTCTTCATGAGACTTCTCTGCTCTGTTAACTTTTCCGATTGAGTTTTATATTGAGAATTCAGAAACCTATTTTGAGTAAATATCAAAAATGTATATTTAATCTGAATCTTGGCAGATGTTTGTACTTTTCCTGCAAGCGGTTGAGCTTGCCTAATGATAACCCAAAGTCCACAGGCTTTATTTAGCGTATGTCTCTTTTTAGTAAGTATTCTTTCATGTGAAGGCACTTGCGAGATTAGTTTTTTTAAGTGTGGTTGGACACTGGTTCTCAGGCTTCTTCTCCATTAGCTGAAATATGGGGGATCAGTTTAATGTTGGTTGGGGCAGAAAAAGGGCCGGCAAGTTAATCATCATTTATTTACATTTACAACTTTGGTTTGTGATGTTTATGGAAACAAGGAAATCCAGATAAAACCATTATCGTGCCACATTCTGGGTTAAAATAATGACCTTGTTTTGTGTTTCGCACTACGGCCTTTCCCTTCTATATACTTGGACCATTTTGACTAAATGACTGCCTTATTGAATATAGTTTACCCAAATGTTGAACGTGTCAAAGTATTTAGGTCTCAGTAAGTTGTGGAAATGCACTATAGCATATTTTTTACAATAAATAGTTATGTTTAGCTTTCAGTAGGTTGTGGCAGTGCACTATAACATATTTAAATTTATTTATTTATGAATGTGTAACTTTTGTTTATATACTTTTAATATTAAATATGTATATGTGGTTTTCAGTAGATTGTAAAAGTGCACTAAACATAACGACGTTGTCTTTTTTTTAAATTATAATATCATCATATAATATATTTATTTTATTCTCATATTTTTACATTTATAATTTACTCAAATAACTGTTTGGTATGGACCAGAGGTGTAAAGTAACTATGTAGATGTACTCAATACTGTACTTAAGTTCAATTTTGAGGGACTTACTTGAGTATTTCTATTCGTGCTACTCTGTACTTCTACCCCACTGCAATTCAGAGGTGATTTGTGTTCTTTTCCTCCACTTCATTTGTTTAATATCTTTAGTTACTTTACAGATCTGGATGAATGATGTGAAATATAATCAAGTGTTGAATCAGACTTTAGTTCCACCTGGAGTAAATCCACCAGCTACCCTGCAGTATACAAAGTCATTCAAACTAGCTGCACCTTTACCAGCTTTGAGAACACTTTCATGATCAATCATTATAAAACATATCATATTATTCTGAAATGGACCAATCTGCATAAACAGTACTTTGAGTATATTTAGTTGCCAAGTCTTTTCTACTGTTAACTTAAATAAATGGTTATGAAGCAAAGGACACTCAATTGAACTCAGCCATGGTAGTAACACTTATTTGATTGCTACTAGCATCATATGATGAACATGTCTGCCTCTGTCTCTCAGGCGACCGAGGTCAACCTGAACAACATGCTGTGCCCGGCCGTGTCCGACCCCTTCTACGGCCCCTGGTACCGGGTCTTGGCCACGGGCCACCAGACCCTGCTGACCCTGGTTCACGGGAAGGTGCTGACCCTCCTCTCGCAGCACACTGGCTCCATGAGCAGGTTTCTACTGGACACACTCCGACTGCGCAGCAAGAAAGTCGACTGAACGTCCCTTAGGATTCACACAGACCCAGCCTTTCTCTCTAATGTCTGCTCTTGTCACGGAGACTTCTTCTTCTTTTTTAATCAACATTTTTAATGCATCTTTTTAGGACTTACCAATGTTTTACTGAAGCAAGTGAGCATTTCAGGGCCAGTGGATCAATGTGTCATTCTTTTAGTGTGGTACTTTCATTTTAAACCTTTATTTATCCAGGTGTATCCCATTGAGATCATTGATCTCTTTTTCAAGGGACACCTGCTCAGTAGTTGTACTACATTCATTCATACTTGCATGCACAAACATAATATGCATTTTAGGGCTGGTAGTAAGCATCGTGGAGTTTATTTTACAATACGATTTTGGAAAGAAGAATTTTTAAAGTATATTTCTCAAGCTGCCTTTTTTGTACGTTTTCAGGACAGGAAATAAGTCACCAATCTGCAGTTGTTACACTTTGAGTTCTTTACTAGTTTTGCTATATCATACAAAAGCTGCCTTTTTCTGTTAGTCTCAAGTGTGTTCTGAAAAAGATTGTGTATGTGAGATGTTGTAAAAGTGAATGCTTGTTTATAGTCGGATGTCTGCCATGTATGATGTCTGCCATGTATGATGACTGTCATGTATGATGACTGTCATGTATGATGACCTCTGTGTTGTCATGACTGAAAATGTGTTCATGTTGTCCCTCTGTTCCCACATGTACATCATGAGTAGCCTCTTTTCTGCGTTTCTGTCTCCAGCCCTCTCAGATCATTCCAGTTGTGATAATCAGGGGACACAAGGATGTATTACATGCAAAAAATATGAAAGACGATACATGGATATACACAGTTCCTACCTTCGCCAAGGAGGTCGTTTTTTATATCAAACCATATTTGTTTGGGTATGACCGTCACTGCATCGTTGATGTTTGCAGAGACGGAGAAGATCTTGACAAAATACGCATTTATCCTGGAATTGGACACTTGGAAAAAATCTGTTGCTCAATCTTTGAGATTATCTACAAGGCACCTGAATTCTCTCCCAGGCTCAGTTTAGTGCACAGGAAACGCATCATCATTGGATCCGCATGAAGTCACTTTGGGTCATTAAATGACGAGCCATTGGAGAGAAAGTATTAACCAGCATTGGCCATTCAGTAATGGTTTATATCATTTCACGTGTTGGGAATGAGTGTGTATGTTACTGTAGCATATAATACTGTACTTCACTGTAAAGAAGGGATAAGACTTTTGTATTCTATCAGTTTGAGTGTGTGTGTGATGTGCTGACAATAAAAGTTATTTCAGTTCACATTGAGTATATTAAGCTTCTTTTTATATTCTAACCATGTTCATGGTACATTTTTAAAACCCTTGTCTTAATTAACACTTTCATTGTACAGTTTTAAGATCATTCCCATTTTCCCTGAAATGTATTAGCAAATATCTAAATCTAAAACGGTTCCTTCAGTCTGTATTCGTTTACCATGACATGGGCTATTCTGGAAAACCCGATATAGTGGTGTTCTGGTTCCCAGAATGCAGAATGACTCAATATAATTGGCCTACAATTGAAAGTGAAAGTTTGAGTCATGGACTCACCAAAGGTTATAGCGTAATGCTTCCTAAGTATACATTTTGATAAATCATTTATAACATAATTACCAATAGTATTAACTTGTATCTGGAAATCTAAAATCAAATCAAAGGTCTTTTATATGTGGGCATGTTCAGGGAAAATGGCACGCAGTTGGGTCCTTGGAAATGACAACATAAAAACCTTGTGAAAAAATGTACTTTACCTTTTTTCTTAATTGTTTGTTTTACTAATAACCAAGTTGTTATTTTATTCTTAAGCAATTGTTATTTTATTTTTGTTGTGGTCCAACTAAATGTTTCTTTTGAAAATCATCAAACCAAATAATCAAAAATAGGGTAAAACGTAACCCACAGAGATCATTATTTTGTTATTAGGGTTGGCATGCAGCAGTAAAACATTCTGGGTAGTTTTGTGGATCAAACCCCGACAAGAGTCAAGTCCAGAAGCCAGCAGCCGTTTTTGCTTTTAAACTTCGCCAACTGGCTCCAGCTTCACATTAAACAACAGATTCCCGACAAGAGTGAGCTTACTTATTCAAAAATCTACTAACTTCCTCAATTAATACGTCTTTCCAGTCCAGCACGCTGAAGCCACGCTGCTGTCTGACTCATACAAACTCTGGCTTGTGTAACATATATTTGGACACATTGTTCTCTAGGGCCAAAAGCTTTATGTGCAGCAGCGATTCAACTGAAGTGAGATGTAGCACCGCGTCAATACAGGCAGTCAAGTGAGGGGGGAGGGGAGGGGGGGGGGCTGCAAAGAGCCCTAAAGGTGGGTTAAGAGCAGAAACATGTTTAAAGTATGATGCTCTTTACCACAAGAGCTTGTCGTTGATGCATAAACACACAGGGGAATATTGGGTATAAATGTACTTGAAATTCAAATAATTAAACCTCACAGAATCATTTTATACTCAGGATGTGGAGAGCTGAGAGGCGGCAGGAAGCACTTACCTGTTCTCCTGTTTCCTACCCTGCCCCTCGGTCAACACACACACACACACACACACACACACACACACACACACACACAATCACCGCTTCGGGGAAGTGAAGGGTAATGGGACTGATATGGTTGACACGTTATAACAAATGGCAAGGCAGTATAAATGCCTGGTGAAATGAAGTGGATGTAATGGAAATTGAAAATGGACTTGGTGTAATAGCAGTTCATTTATTCAGGCAGATGGAGGCCCAGAGGCAGACTCAGCACAGGAAGCAAAGTGCTGGTCAGCACCGCGTTCGTGTGTGTGTGTTTTACACCAGCAGCAGACTGAACTATTTCTTAGCACTTAAAGCCCTGAATATCATGTAACCGGCAGCAATGTATTTTCAGACGAGGACTCGGTGCTCAGCGCTTTGGGTGGAGGAACTTGCAGAGACGTAGGTCAGGCATGCTGGGGGGGGGGCTTCTCCTTATTACAGTCACCATCACACTTTGTGCAGCTCTGCATGTGTTACCAGTACGACCCAAAAAGCACTGATAGAAAATGATTTAGCTCAAGGAAGTGTGGTCTGTTGAACCTCTGCACCCTGCTGTGACATCACTTTTGAAGAAGCTGAACCACTTTGGTGGAAGTCAGCTACAGTGTTTAAGTTAGACAAAAAAAATGTGACTTTAAAGGGGCCCTATTCTGCTTTTTAGGGTATTACCTCTCCTGTAGTGTTATATAGGTTTTTGTGAATGTAAATACACAATAACAATTTGATTATTACGAACTGAGAGCCTCTTTAAACTCCCAGATACAATCATTTTGACTGACTTCCTATAGCAGTCTTAGTACTAGAATTACATGTAGAAGTTACTGGAAACCCTGAGTGTATTTAAGGCTAAGTAAACAACATTTATTTGACCACAAGTCAATAACCTTAACAGGTTGTTGCTACATTTATTGTTGATTTCCATGAAATAAACTTAGCTTAAGCAAGGAGAATCAAAAAGAAAATATACATAGCCAATCCAACATCAAGCTATTTGTGTCAACACTTGAGCTCTGTACAAAATGAAGATGACTTATTAAAGACACCCTGTTATGCTAGGGGTTTCCCCTTTCCTGTAGTGTGTTGTATAGATTTGTGTGCATGTAAATGTTAGCAAAGGCTAAAATCCCAAAGTTCCCTCCAGAGGGAGTTCCTGTCCTATACAGTTTGAGAAAAGACATTTTTGAACATTAGAGACACAAGATACAGATATGAACCTGAAAATGGGCATACAAAGAGCCTGTATAAACTCAATATAGTAGATCCCATGATCTTCTTCAGCAGATGCAGTTTCCCCAGTTGTCATGACGATCCTTAATAATGTTCTATTGATGCGGTCACATTACTTTTCAGTAACTAATACTCCCTTGTTCAGTTTAAACCATACTTTTGTGATGTTTTATAACTGTTGTTTTTGTACCTTTAATGGCTTCTTTATCGGTCAGCAGTCTCATTTAGCCCCGAGCCACAGCATGTGCCCTGCATGCTCTAATATCATAAAAAGGGTGTGACGGCTGAGGTCATCTCACAGAATTATAGATAGGGAACAGAGAGTATTAGGGCCAGGCATAAGGAGAACAAATGAGAGGAGCAAGTTGTTCTAAACCTTCTTTTCAAGCATTAGAACAATTAGGAAGAGGAAGATATGTCGAGACATAAGTCAAAATGTTTACAGTAAATAGGAATGTCGATAAAACAATAAAGTCTGGGAAAAATGGAAATGTCGAGAATAAAATGGAAATGTCGAGAATACATTGAACGACAATAATGATGTCAACACATTCAGAAAACATTTGAAATAAAATGTTGTTTAATAAATGTTTAGAATAAAATCAACGTTAAAAAAAGTGGAAATGTCCAGTCAAAACGTCGATTAACTATGTTGAACATTCAGTTGTTCTGCCAGACAGAAGAAAGAATAAATCAGGAGAAACATGTCCAATTGAAAGTGTAAAAAATAAATGACACTACCAGCGTTAGCGCATATACTGAAAGTTCAACTTTGTTCATAAAAATGCAAAACAAATAAAAGATCCTAACATGTATTCCGTACTCTTTCTCACTTTTGTCCACCTCTACTTTAATTCTGTAGGTGCGATTGAAATGTATAGACTGAGGACAGCCTTCATTGAAATATTTAGTAGAAAATAGTCAAATTTAAAACCTCTGATGCAAGTTTGGCATACAAAATGAGTCCCATACACTTCAAATATACACTTTGAATATTTTATCCCAATCTAATCGAGCAAACTGAACACAATATATGTACAGTATTAAAGTCAGTGTGCAACTGACATAATCCATACCATTCCTTAGCAAATGAACACATTGGTTTTACGCATATCTAAATGTGAAACACACCAAGTGTGGATGTGTTAAAAAAAAAATCAAATGACACGATGTGTTTTCAGTTGATTTTGTATTTTTTATTGAATAAATGATTTAAACGGTAATAACAATGTTTAAAACTACATTATCTTCACAGCCATTGCTTACATACTCATCTATATATATTCTTTGAACCCTCCCCACACTTTAGCTTTTTTTTTTCTTTAATTTTTTTTGTGTTTATTTTTTTCTTTTGGAGTCATACTATCATATTAAATGCCCGTTTCAAGTCTTGTCACAATAACAGCAATTCAATAGGAAAGGAGGAAGGGTCTAGTTCTACAGGAGATAGATTCAAAGTTCCCATTTTCTTAATATTCCATAAACTTTTTTTTTTTTTTTTTAATGTACTTAAGAAAAAGATCCAAAAAATCTAAAGGAAAATAAAAATAATTGGTATGAGGCGTTACACCAGGCAACCCTCCCAGCCATCAGGCCACTGCAACAGAAAGTCTTTTTGTACAGTGACACGTCTTAGTGTCTCAGAAACTCAGAACATAGAAAACCACTAAAATAATTTTGAAACTAGATCCAAAATATTCTTTTGAAAAGAATTTATTTTTGATGTACAAAAACAGTCATTTTATTTTTATGATGTTTTTTTGTTTTAATATAAAAGCTTCAAACACAAGTTTATTGTAGTTCTTATTTCATTCGTCATTATCATTATTGATTCATTTATTCTCTTTTTTGTTGTTAATATTCATCTATCAGTGCGATTGTATACCAGTGCAGCTACTGGGTCCAGAGTAACGAAAACAGGCTTTTCATCTTTAATGGCATAAAAAATAAGGAAAAATCCATCTTTTATACAAAGTATAACTGCTGGTCTTTAGGGAAAAAAACGTTTATAAACCCATAAAGCTAAGGAGGCACACCATGGGATTTTCATTTTTGTAAATTATAGCAATAATATACTAATACTACTTCTAATAATAATAAACAAAACAAGTAACAACAATTTGCAACCATCCTTGATGCCACGTACGGCTTCAGAGAGACTCAATGACAATTCATTGAGAAGTTGCTTAACAAGTCAAGACAGTTGAGAAATTGCACACACACAAAACAAAATAGACAGAAAAACATTTTGTCAATTTGCAGGGGGGGGGGGGGGGGGGGGGAGAGAGAGTGTCTTTTGAAAGGACAGGAAGCCAGGCCCGTGAGCAGCATGTGGGCACGGCCGCTGGCATCTTTGGTTCAGTCGAACATACGAAGGTAACACGAGCTTGAGCATTCCACGAAATATGAGAGCGAACACACACGGAATGCTGAGGCCGAACTCTAACCCTGGTATGGAACCAAAACACAATCTGCTACGACAAACTACCAATGCCGTTC